GCCTGAATAAGTGAAGAGGTCTATGTGGTCCACCCGGGCTGGCTACATGAACAGTTTTGAACTTTTTGTCTCGGACAATATTTGTTGGTATAAGGGATGCTGGACCCGATTTCCAGCAGGTGCAGCTCCCCACGAATAAGATCGGACTCATCGGAGCCATCAAACTTCGAAAAAAAAAAACGCTTGGAGGAAGTTGGCATACGAAGGGGACACTACCTTTTTTATATCATGGGTCAATCGACCTCATCTCTCTTCCTTTGGGCAAATATCTTCAGCAAATTTGAAGGATCATGAGAAGGGAGAAAAGTAGCAAAGGAAGGAAAGGAGTGGTAGGCAGTGAAAAAGTCTTTTTTTTTTCTTTTTCATTGTAAGCCCAGGTTTTTGTCGAGGTGGGATATCAATGACAGTCGTCTTCCGAGCTCAACCCTATAGGGTATCATATATATGAACTGTGTCCTAACTTCCTAAGACCTCTTTTTTGTTATACTATAGCAAGCTGAGCCTACAGTGGTGCCGTCTTAAAGTCCTGTTCGTATGCGACCGGTAGGGACAACTTATCCAGAAAAATTCCATGCCAGTCAGTTGCAGTACTGATGTTTTGTTTTTTCTAGTGCCAGAATGGTAGCCTCTCAGTCCGCTCAGTCTGAGAAAGCTGAGGAATCTAGAAGGGGTGGTTTTGTTCTTGAGACACTTTGATGTGATCGTTGTGATGATGTATAAAATGAAATGAGCCCCACACTAGAGATTGTCGGAGTCTGGCGTTTCTTTTTACCACCGAATGAGAATGTCTGCCTGGTTTCGTCAGCACCTTTATAAATGTCCTTAATGCTTTTGCGGAAGCATCTGTGTAGTGAGATGATTGGAGCACTGTGCTGACTGCCCTTCACGAATGGAGATAAGCTGTTGTGGCTCTGGACAGATGGCAGTAGTCCCCCTGATGCCCTCCCCTGATGCCTTCCACAGACAGACTCATAGTTCCCTTGACAGATCCAGAGGGTTCCCATGATTATATGCTTCTGATCAATTTTGGCATTGACAGTGAAAACACAGAAGAAAAAAAAAGAAAAAAAAAAGAAAAGAGAACAAAAAAAAGAAAAAAAAGAAAAAAGAAAGGAAAAAAAAAATGAAGAAAAAGAAATAAGAAAAACAAGTATGCTTCTCATCAATTTTGGCATTGACAGTGAAAAAAAAAAAAGAAAAAAAAAAAAGGAAAGAGAATGTGAGGAAAGAGCCCTCAAGTGGGCCTATCAGACGTCACATTGTTCTGGGCTAAGGCCCCAGCACGCAAAGTGCCCGCCTTAACGCGCGAGTGTCACTAAGGTGCGTCGTACAGTTGGCCCAGGCCACGAAAGTTGTGCCTGGGTATATACACACAAAGCAGGGCCGATACATTGAGAAGCAGGCCGTCGTCCTTTGGGAAAAGCAGTACTGCCGACACATCTATCCGGGGCCCCTGCACAGATACAGCCAACAGCCAGGCCGTGCCCAACTGAAAAGGGCCCAGGCCCTCATTGTAAGTCTCGGGCCTGGGCACAGGGTCTGGGGCCCAACCGGAAGCTTCTGGAAGCTTCCAGCCAGGCCACACGCAGCATCCAAGAGGCTGACACTTCCGTAAAGGAAGTGAGGCAGCCCAGGCCAGGCATTCTGGCTGGTGCAGGCAATGCGGAAGTGCTGCTGCGCTCTCGCATGACGCTGCGCTGCTGCCAAGGGCGCTGACGGAGCGTGAGAGGTGAGGTGGGGCGCTGCAGGGCAGCGGGGCGCAGGCGGCCATAGCCGGGCTGCTGGTCGCCAAGGGGGTACAGCAGGTGGGGCGCTGCAGGGCAGCGGGGCGCAGGCGGCCATAGCCGGGCTGCTGGTCGCCAAGGGGGTACAGCGGGCGATGAGGTGGTCTTCAGGGAAGGAGGCGCTGTGTGGGGTAATCAAGGTCTGAGTGAGGGTGACGAGATACGTACCTGGTGCATGAAGAGAGGTCGGCTATGGTGTCGGCAGTCATGTACATTGGTCTTCAAGTGTCGAAGTGTGCCTGTTGCGTGAACCAGCTGTGAAGTTGGCTAATCGAGTAGAGTAGACTGGGCGCTGGGCGCCAGACAGCAGAGAACAACTTTGGATACTGTGTTGGTGTGGCCTACGGGCTTGAACATTGGCTCTCTACTTCATTGTATTGCTTTATATGGATGGTTCCTCGGTGCATTTTGTACTCTCTGCTTTGACACGACTACTTGGACAGCTGTGTGATTTTGCAAATCTGGTTTTCTGTATATCGTTCACACTCATATTCCTTGCAATTTGGTATCGGAGCTGGTTGGTGATCGCCGCTTACCTGGCACCTGCGACATTGTTACTTGGTTCGCTGATGATGCTTCATGTGCAGTAATGATACTATGACGCTGGTTTGAGATAGCGGGGCCTAGGTGGAGAGGCCGGCCGCTCCAGACAGCAGAGAGCGACTTTGGACATTGTGTTGGTGTGGCGCCTACGGGCTTGAACATTGGCTCACTACTTTATTGTATTGCTTTATATGGACGGTTCCTCGGTGCGTTTTGTACTCTCTGCTTTGACACGACTACTTGGACAGCTGTGTGATTTCGCAAATCTGGTTTTCTGTATATCGTTCACACTCATATTCCTTGCAATTTGGTATCGGAGCTGGTTGGTGATCGCCGCTTACCTGGCACCGGCGACATTGTTACTTGGTGCGCTGATGATGCTTCATGTGCAGTAATGATGCTATGACGCTGGTTTGAGATAGCGAGGCCTAGGTGGAGAGGCCAGCCGCTGGAAGGCTGTGGCGACAGCGTGGGAGCTTTGGCGACAGCAGGTGTATGCATGATGATGAGAGTGTGCTGAAGTGGCATTTTGGCTGAGGTGGCACTACATTGTGTTGTGGGTGGTACCGAGGCTATTGACCGATCATCGAAATGCAAATCAGCCCAATTGGTGAGAAATCTGTGGTTGGGGGCTGCTATCTCCAAGTACATTGTTCCCATTCCTTATCTACCCTCTCAATCTCTTCTTACCATGAGGAAGTGAGTCCAACTTGAGTGTCCTCTCTTTGGTGAGGAGTCGTGTGCGCTCTATCTTGAGAGACGATGTTCTTCTCGGTGGCGCATCTGGCAGGAGAGGGCGGTGCCTCTTAAGCCCTGAAGGGCCCTTGTCGAAGCACGGGTCATGGTCACCATGCCAACCCATGGGTATTAGTACACGCAGGCCATGCTGCTTTGTCCATTGAGGCTCCTTGCTGCGCTGATAGAAGGGGTGTGCGGACTGACCAGTCCTATTGAGACGCTCCCAGACCGTCTATAAACATTTCTGGCTGTGATCGTCGTCTTGATTGCGACGTTAAAGAATTCTTTAGGAGATGGGGGCTCTCCTTAAATCCCTCCTGATCAGCCAGATCAGTCAGATGTGAGGCTCGTTGCACGCGAGGGTAAACAAAGGGGCAGGATGGTCATAAGCATACTTATTGGGCACAGGGGTGGGCCGTGGTTGCACACCTTAGACACCGCAGCTTGATGATGCTCAGAGGTACGTTGGATACAGGGGAAGGGGATTCCAATTGTGAACTCAATTGTAAATCACTAATATATCCATTGTGCATAAATCTGCTTACACTAGTCCTAAGTTTTATTTTTGATTAGTTGGTTGATCGACTGCTGACACCTAATAGACAGACTAGAGTAGGACTGTAATCTACCATAGTCAATTCTTCTCAAATCTTCTGTAAAGACTAGTCAGAATAAGAGTTGGACAATGTGTACAGTTTGTGTAGATGTTGTTGATGCCCCTTGAATAGTAGGCTAGGTAACTCGCCAGACATTTATTTATTTGTTTATTTTTAGATCCGGTCAGACGCATGCTGAGGTAGGTTCCAGCGAGGACATCAATTGAGACAGCGTCTGCCTAACCTATGAGTGGATCAGAGGGTGGTGAGGGTGCAGATGACGATAGGAGGTTAACAGGGCTATCATCCCTTAGAATTCTTAGAGTGTCCCAGACCTTACAACCGGGAGAAGAGAGAAGGTTAAGGGCTGAAGCTAGGGCCCGTAATCTTGAGGCTGTAAGGGAAGCAACAACAGCTAGAGCGGTAGTAATGGCTACTTCTGCAGCAACTACTGCGAACTCAATTGGTCAAGGGCTAGGCATGCCGACCAGTTCACAGTCAATCTCCAGTGCATCAAGGGTTGGCACTAGTCAGATGGCGGGCTCGCAGTCAAGCTCGTCGCCTCCACTCACCCGGGAGTAGATGGAGCTCCAGTAAGAAGAGAGGATCCGCTTAAGGTTAGAGGAGGAACTTAGACAGGCTACTAAAAGAGAGAAAGAGATAAAAGAAAGAAGTGTCAAATTAGAGGGCAGGGAGGCAGATATGGCTGCGCTAGAGGCATTAGAGGACTCCGCACTTAACACTACAGGAAAGATCTTGAAGGCAAGTGTCCTATCCATGCATGCATACATAGATAGTAAAATGGGCGCAATGCAGGATACCCTAGACCAGATTCTGCAAGCGATGCATAAGCCAGGGATCCGGCCAGCAACTTTACCATCATTGCCACTCTCAGCGATGACAGGCCTTTATGCAGCTCAATCAGGACCACCACCAAGTGTATCATCAATAGTAGCTTTATCTCAGACTGTTGCTTCTTCATCTTCTGGTCCAACGACTGTAGCTACACCACAATCGCCACTTGTCTCGCAAGGGGGATAACAATATCCTTGGTATCCCAAGACCCCACTGAACCCACCTGCAACCTTCTCAGGAGACAAGAAGGATGAGGCTCTCGACACATGGTTAAGAACGGTGGCAGTGTGGGTGAGGGCAAAAAGGACATTGGTAGAAAAGGAAGTGATTACTGCTGCATCCTACTTAAGAGGGTTTAGCAACTCATTGGCTAAACGGATTGGTCGCTTCAAAGGGCTTCAACAGGAACATGGATGATTGGGCGCATACCCAGTCATTGGAAAGCTTTATGGACTTAGTGGAGGCTCGTTGGCACAATCCTCAGCAGGCACAGATTGCCACTGATGGGCTCTTGAAACTTGATACTAGAAAGTACAAGTTTGTGCGGGAAGTCACCACAACCGTAGAGCGCCTGATCGTCATCCTTGGAGTGGAGTACAATCCACAGGTCTTGCTGACCATGTTCCTGAGATGTCTTCCCACATACATTAGGAATTTATTAGCCAGCGAGGCTCGCAGAGAGTATCACACTTTTGAGTCATTCAACAAAAAGGCCCTAGACTTAGAGGCTACGCTGGGTGGAGCTCAAACCCCTTCTACGGATGGGAGGAAGAAGAAGACTCCACAAGAGTGGAAGAAGGGTAGTCGATTGATGATGGTTGACTCCGATGGGAATCAAACTGAGATCGATGATGCTTTCGAACTTGTGGAGGGTTCAGAGTTTGACGGCGAGGAGAATGCTGAGGGTAGCAACCTCGCCGCCGTTGTCAAGACTAAGGCAGGTGGCCGCGACAAGGGCGGACAACAAAAGAGTCAGGGGCAGGCCTCTAACCCAAACAAAATAGCTGCTTGGGTAAGAGCAGGTCTGGATCAAGATGTGTGGCGGGACCGGTGGTTTCGTGGTGCTTGCATTAACTGCGGTGAGTACGATCACACACAGTTCAAATGSAAGAACCCGAAGGTCTTGCAGAAGATCCTTCCTAAGGGTGGGTTTTCTTCTTCTCAGTCAGGGGTCTCTACGAGCTCCAGCTCGGGAAACACTTAAGGCCAACATAAGTTATAGCTGCTGCTACTCTCGTTGAAGCGTGTGATGTACCTTCCCCGTTTCAAGAGATGGCCAAAGCTATTGACTCCTTAGTCACCCCGCAGACGGAACCGGACCCAACTATACTCTGTACGTTGGATGTATCTGGTCTCTTAGAGGACCTTCAAGGTGTGTGGTCGGCAAGGGACCCTCCTGAGTCTTGGGTGGCACTGAGTAGAGGTCCTAGAGGGGAGCACTTCGTTGTGGAAGTTGATGTGGGTGGTCGCAAGTGCGGTGCCTTCGTAGACATTGGCTCCACACGAAACTTCATAAGTCGCGATTGCGATGAAAGACTGTGCCTAAAGGATCGGGTGCAGCGCCTTAGTAGACCGGTAGCATCTACTTTGGCCAACAAAGAGCGCATGATGGTGGAGGACTACGTTGTAGATGTAGTCTGCACCTTCTACCTAGGAGGAGAGATAAACCATAAGATGTCCTTCCTGGTGAGCGACGAGTTGCCCTTTGACTTGTTATTGGGCATGTACTTGAGGTTGCCAAGCCCCAGTTTGACTGGGACAAGAAGGTGTTGAAGCACGAGTTGCCTAGTAGGAGAACCCTGAGACTGCCGAAGTACAAAGCCAGTACGTTAGTAGACTCCTATGGGTGCTTATGCGCATCTTCCTTTTATAATTACTATAAACAGAACCAAGAGGAAGGAATGTACTTAGTCTATGTCTCTGCAACAGGGGAGGACGTTAAAACACCCCCAGAGATAGAGACCATCGTCGCTAAGTACCCAGATCTGTTCGAGGAGCCTACATAAGTCGTAGACAAGGAGATTGTCCATGCCATAGTGATTATCCCAGGTATTAAAACACCTAAGGGTATAATCGATAGGACGGCTCAACCGGATGAACTTCGGCGGCAACTGAAAGATCTCACAGAGAAGGGTTGGATTCCGCCTAGCACTTCCCCCTTTGGCTCACCAGTATTGTTTGTTCCAAAGACAGGGGGAACACTAAGGATGTGCATTGATTATAGAGGCCTCAATGCCATCACGGTTAAGAACGCAGAGCCTCTACCACACATCGACGACCTATTGGATAGGGTGCAGGGGTGTAAGTACTATACAAAGATAGACTTAAAATCCGGCTACCATCAGATTGCCATAAGACCAGAGGACCAGCACAAAACCGCATTTTAGACCAGGTACGGTTTGTACGAGTTTGTGGTGATGCCCTTTGGCCTTCGCAATGTGCCAGGTACATTCCAGCACGCCATGAATAGGATCTTCCATGACCACTTGGACAAGTTTGTTGTCGTGTACCTCGACGACATACTTATCTTCAGTAGATATGCCGAGGAGCATGCTCAGCATGTAGACACTGTACTTTCACTCCTTCGACAACACAAGTATAAGATAGATGTGGAGAAATGTGAGTTTGGTCGCACTCAAATCTTGTACTTGGGTCATGAAGTATTTGCGGATGGGATTAGGCCCGAAGACGCTAAGGTGGCTAGCATACGTGACTGGCCGCGACCCCAGTCTTTGACTGAGGTCAGATCATTCTTGGGAATGTGTGGTTATTACCGCAACTTCGTAAAGAAGTATAGCACGATCGCATCTCCCTTGACTGATTCTAGACTTGACACACCATGGGACTGGACCGACGAGTGTAAGGCAACATTCAATCGTTTGAAGCATGCTCTCACGCACCATGAGGTTCTCATGGTACCCGACCCGCAAAGGCCATTTGTTGTGACCATTGACGCAAGCCAATATGGCATTGGCGCAGTGCTGGCTCAGCAGGACGGGAAGAAGTTGAGACCGATCGAGTACATGACCACAAAGAGGCCTTCAAAGAAGTTCGCAAAGTCCACCTACAAGAGGGAACTCTATGCTCTTTACAAGGAAGGCACTTGTCCACTGGAGGCACTATTTGTTAGGAAGGTTCTTCTATTTGAGAACTGACCATCAGACCTTTAAGTGGATCAAGACTCAACCAGTTCTCTCCAATGCACTCAAACGCTGGATTGAAGTCATAGATCAATATGATTTCAAACTAGACTATTTGAAGGGAGTTGCAGACGCGTTGTCTAGGAGGGCAGATTACCTAGGTGCGCTGATTTCTTAGTTTGGCTTGTTTGAGGACGTAACTCGATCGTTGGGAGGAGCCTACAAGGAAGATCCCATCACGATGGACATCATTTACAAACTTCAGGCCAAAGACAAGGCCACCTCTGACCAGTTTGTGATGGTGGATGGCTTACTCTTTCTTGAGAAGGCAGGGTTCAAAAGGTTAGTTGTTCCATCTAGGGAAACTTTGCGTAGTTTATTTTTAGGTGAGTGCCACGACGCAACGGGACACTTCGGCTATAAGAAGACTAGTACTAATTTAGCACAGTGATTCTGTGGCCTAACATGCTTGACGATGGGAAGAATTACGTGGAGACCTGTCAAGTCTGTCAGCGGGACAAGCCGCGAACTCAAGCTCCGCTTGGGTTACTCAAGCCTTTACCCATTCCTGCTGGCCCAGGTCAGAGTATTTCCATGGATAGTCTTGTGACCAGCAAGAATGGCAAGAGGCACATTTTCGTCATAGTGGACAGGTTCACTAAGTACGCTAGACTAATCGCCATGCCAGAGACTGACAGGACTGAGCACGTCATCAAGTTGTTCATGGACAACTGGGTGCGTGACTTTGGACTTCCAAAGACAATCGTTAGTGATAGAGATGTGAGATTCACAAGCGAGATGTGGAAGAAGGCCATTGAACAGATGGGCAGCCAACTTCAAACGACTTTTGGGAATTATCCCGAAGCAAATGGGCAGGCTGAACAGATGAACCGAGTGGTGCAGCATCTGCTGAAGCATTACATCAAGCCTTGTCATCTGCTGAAGCATTACATCAAGCCCAGTCAGGATGCCTGGGACGAGAAATTACCTCTCATCGTCAGCCTCTACAACAATGCTGTACACAGCACCACCGGCGTCGGTCCTAATCAACTAAATCTCGGATGGAAGCCTAGATCTGCTCTAGACTTCCTCCTGCCTGAAAACCGAACTGCTGCAACTCCTGGAACCATTGAATTTGGTGTCCAGTATGAGAAACTGTTGCAGAAGGCTGTCGAACACATCAAGAAATCTAAGGAAGCCATGATTGCTTCTGAGAACAAGCGTTGCCGACAGTCCACATTTCAGATAGGGGAACGTGTCTGGGTCAAGGCTAGTGAGTTGGGACAGGAGTTTGGCATCTCTAGGAAACTAATGCCTCTGTATTTCGGTCCCTGGGAAGTCCTAGACATTGTGGGGAATGATTTGGATGGTCCCTCGTACATTATTCCTATCCCTGGTCACTTACGCACTTACCCTGTTTTTCACGCCTCCAAGCTTGCACCTTTCGCTGAGACAGCACAGTTCCCATCACGGAGATCTATGCTGCCCCCAACCATGGATGGCCACGTGGACGTCAACGACATTCTGGATCATAGAGACCCGCCTGTTCCCAAGCCACCTGGCAGGGGAAGACCTCCCAAACCTGCGAGGGAATACAGAGTACATTTCAGGCATGAAGATCGATGGATTTCAAGGGAGGAACTTGTCAAGACAGCTCCTCAGATCGTGGCAGATTATGAGAAGAAACTGAAGGGGAGGGCACCAGCATGAAGCACCTCAGTGGACTTTCGAAGCTAAGGGGGATGGAATGTGAGGAACGAGCCCTCAAGTGGCCCTCAGGCATCACATTGTTCTGGGCTAAGGCCCCAGCAAGCCAAGTGCCCGCCCTAAGTGAAGGCGGGCCTGAATATTCGTCACAGGCCAAATTCGACATTTCCATATGTGGGTATTCAGGCTCTCGCAGCGCGTCAGTTGGTTAAGTGAACGCGCGAGCCTCACTAAGCTGCGTCGTACAGTTGGCCCAGGCCACGAAAGTTGTGCCTGGGCATATACACACAAAGCAGGGCCGATACATTGAGAAGCAGGCCGTCGGCCTTTGGGAAAAGCAGTACTGCCGACGCATCTATCCGGGGCCACTGCGGAGATACAGCCAACAGCCAGGCCATGCCCAACTGAAAAGGGCCCAGGCCCTCAACTGTAAGTCTCGGGCCTGGGCACAGGGTCTGGGGCCCAACCGGAAGCTTCTGGAAGCTTCCAGCCAGGCCACACGCGGCATCCAAGAGGCTGACACTTCCATAAAGGAAGTGAGGCAGCACAGGCCAGGCACACTGGCCAGCGCTGACAATGCGGAAGTGCTGCTGTGCTTCTGCTTGATGCTGCTCTAATGCCAGGGGCGCTGACGGAGCGCTAGGTGGTGAGAGGGGCGCTGCAGGGCAGTCAGGTGGCTATAGGCGGGCTTTTAGGCGCCAGGGGGTATAGCGGATGATCGGGTGGTCTTCAGGGAGTGAGGCGCTGTGTGCGGTAATCAAGGTCTGAGTGAGGGTGACAAGATACGTACCTGGTGCATGAAGAGAGGTCGGCTATGGAGTTGACAGTCATGTACATTGATCTTCGAGTGTCAAAGTGAGTCTGTTGCGTGAACCAGCTGTAGGTAGGATAGTCGAGTAGGGTAGACTGGGCGCTGGGCGCCAGACAGCAGAGAGAACGACTTTGGATACTGTGTTGGTGTCGGGCTTGAACATTGGCTCATCTCTTCATTGTATTGCTCTATATGGATGACTTCTCGGTGCATTTTGTACTCTCTGCTTGGACACGACTACTAGGACAGCTGTGTGGTTTCGCAATCTGGTTTTCTATATATCGTTCACACTCAGGTTCCTTGCAAGAACAAAAATAAGAAATCTGGTCATTTCCCAAGTGAAAATTCACAATGAAAGACAATGCCATCCAATTGCGAAAGAAATGAAAGCACTTGCAAAGAGATAAAGACCAGAGGAGAGGTAAAGAAGAAGAAGAAAAAGAAGAAGAAGAAAAAGAAGAAGAAGTACACCAGCAAGACCAATGCCAATTCCCCCTTCTCTCTCCACCTTCCTCCTCGTTCTCTTCACCAATCTTATTCTTCTCTCAATAATAATAATAACAATGAATGGATGAACCAGAATCAATATCCGAAGTTCCCTCTTACTGCTGACTCAACTCAACAACAACAACAACAACAACCAGTCCACCATAGCTATGGCTTCCCTCCTTCAGCCTCCTCTCTCATGCATAGGCTATGGCGGACTACCCCAGGCAGCTAGGGTTGCTGATGTCCAAGGGACAACCCAAGCAGCTATGGTGCTGCGCTGATGTCCAAAGGACCACTCAAAGCAGCTATGCCGCTGCTGACTTGGTCCGCTATGCCTGACTCTGCCTTGAGCTTCCCTGGTGCCGCACTACCCCAACTGGGGCCTTCCAGATGCAGCGCCCAACAAGGTGATGAAGATGGTGTCTACCATAGCCAGGTAAGTGCCCCGCCACTCTCCTACTATGCCCCCTTCTTCCTCCTCAAGCTGGAGTGCTCGTCATAGCCAGGCTGAGCTCCAGCGGCCCTTCACCTGCAAGCAGCGCTGCACCAGTTCAGCGCTGCGCTCCAGCAGCATGTCGCCAATCCCTGCACACCGCAAATGAGGAAGAGCTCTTTGCTCTTCCTSGAGATATAGCGGCCTACCGGCCTCCTGGGCGGTGACTTCCTGGGCCGAGCGGCCTCCCAGCAACCGGTACCTCCTCCCTTTCGGAGGGAAACATCATTGCAGGCTCTGCTATCCTCCCTACAGGCCCTAGACCCGGGCTACTTGGACTGGTACCGGCCTACCGCTATCCTACCGCTACTGGGCCTCTAAAAATGCCAACTTTTTGTCTTCTTCTGCTCGGCCTCCAGTACCCGACACCCCTACCACTACTTGAGTGGGACCGGCCGACCTGCTACTTGAGTGTTTTTCCCCGCTGTTCTAAGCGTTGCGGGCCTGAGTGTTTTCCCCCTGCAACCCTCAAAAGTCACGGCCACAGGTAAGTACCGGCCCTGCGGGGCCCTTCAACCAACAAGTACCATTGCGGTTCATACACACACTCAACCGACAAGCACTCAGACAGGCATGCAAACCAGCAGGCACGCACACACACAGACATGGAAATCACAGCAGAATGTGGGAATTTCAGCAAGGCATTCATTCCAGCATCAAATCCCAGAAATCAGCAGTGTTCTCAGTCTGTGTTTTTGGCGGGTCATTACAGAAAAAAAATAATAATAAAAGAAAAAAAAAGAAGAAAAAGAAAAAAAAAAAGGAGGTCCTTTGCAGGAGAGCTCCCAGTTGTCGGTAATTGATTGTCTTCCGCGATTCTTTTGTCGTTTTCACCTGTTTGGAATCTCTGTGCAAGCGTGCACTGTAGGAGGAAGTGGTGGGGCCCACAATGCGGAGATAGTGGTGCAGAAACTCAAAATGCATTTGAGAAAGGTATAGGCCCCACTTGCTGTTTTGAAAGAACAGCAAATGTGGGGACAGGTTCGGTCACAGCTTCAGTGCGGAGTACTCACAGCAGTACTTTCGTAAATGTATCTGACTGCAATTATGGTCAGAACTGGATGATTATGACCCACAATCAGGTTGAGAGCTTAGCAGAAAAAGTACTAGTGTGAGTATATGCCCTCAATGTGGAGCTCTGGTGAGCGGATCTTGACCCCATGTTCTGTCAGAACTTCAGTGATATCGCGTGTGGCCTGTGTTCGACTCTGCAGGGAGCGAGAACAGTATGTGGTGGGAAGTGTTCATTTTTCCTTGTCAACTTCCTATGCCTGAAATCCAACTCTTTTTTCATTTTTCATTCTTTTTATTTATTTATTTTATATACCCAGAATTCATCTCAACCAGCGTTAATTCCAAACTTCAGCACCTCCCTTGGCCTACACCTCCATCTGCCCGCAGAATCTGATGTAACTGAGAGGGAGCGTATGTTGATTTCATGTGGTTTTGCAATACGTGATGCCTTCACTGCAGGGGAAATGCTGTGAGGGTAGTCGTTCCTTGGTGTACTTGTCGACTGCCCATGTGAGCAATATCTTCGTGATGAGTCGAAGCTCTCGAAAAGGTATGTCTGGAGCTTGCAGGGCCTTATTGAAACCACCAGTACTTCGAAGCGTCTTTTTCCTGAAACACATTTCTCTTGTGTCCGCGGTGTCGCTTAAAAAACTTTACTGGCATGATTCTTTTCTTTTCTTCTCATTGCCTGGCGCTGTCTGATCTGGGAAAGGGAGTTTTTTTTTTTTTTTTTTACTCACTGAGCCCCGAATTCCCATGCACACCTCTCATGTCTCGGGGAAACGGGTTAAAAAGTATGTTGACAGGGAAGTAGAGAGATGGGAGAGGGAAGTGGGGGGAGGGAACGGAGAGGCGCCGAGGCGAAATGGATAGAAGCTGGAGTGGGAGTCCACACGATGAAGAAGAGGGAGGGGTGGAGGAAGCGAGAGAAAGACAGGGATGCTAAAATTGATGAAGACATAAGATAGTTTTGTGGAAAAAATCAGGACACAAGAGGAATGGTTGTAGTAAGAGGGAAACAGAGGACAGTCGTGGAAAAAATCAGGACACAAGAGGAATGGTTGTAGTAAGAGGGAAACAGAGGACAGTCAAAGAGGGGAAAATGCTATAGCGGAGAGGACAATCAGCAAGAGAAAAATGCTAGTGGCAGGAGCCGGGGKGAATAAGAGGKGGAGGAAGCGAGAGAAAGACGGGGATGTTTGAAGACATAAGATAGTTTTGTGGGAAAAATTAGGACATAAGATAGTTTTGTGGGAAAACTTAGGACATAAGATAGTTTTGTGGAAAAAATCAGGGTAAAGAGCAATGATTGTGGTAAGAAGGAACGATAGGTCACACCTTAACATGCACATCTATGTGCAACTATCCTATTATTATCATAATGCACACTGCAAAACATGGAAACTAATAGGGCAGAACTACAGTTGCAATGGACGAATATATATGGGGAAGTTGGTCTTCATTTCCAGCATGTAAACGCTGACAATACATGGAGCCTTCGATGCTGGGAAAAAAAAAAAAAGAAGAAGGAAAGAGAGGACAATCAGCAACTGGAAAATGCTAGCAGCAGGAGCAGGGGTGAATAACTCCAGAGTCATGCCATTCCTTGCACATTGGTAAATAAAATACAAGAAAGAAGGTGCAAGGAATATGAATGAGAACGAAGTTGCGAAATCACACAGATGTCCAAGTAGTCACGTACAAGCAGAGAGCACGAATGCACCAAGATTCCATCCAAATAAGAGCCATACAATGAACTCGTGAGCCAATGCTCAAGCCCTCAGGCCACACCAACACAGTATCCAATGTCGCTCCTCTCTGTCTGTTGTCCAGCGCCCCGTCTTCACTACTTGCCTATCTTACTACATCCGCATTCAAGCAACAGGCTCACTTCGACTTTGAAGACCAATGTACATAATGTCAACAGCATAGCCGACCTTCCTCATGCACCAGGTACGTATCTTGTCTCCCCTCATCAGACCCTGACCACACACACTCGCCTCCTTCCTGAAGACCACTGATCGCCCTCTCACCTCTCAAGCGCCTGCATGCACCCTGGCCATTAAGGCAGCACGTGACCTCTTCCGCAGCAACGCAGCAGCGTGGCCGCGTTGCCTGCGTGGGCCAGAATCCCAGACCCTGCGTGTAACTTCCGGTCGGGCCCCAGTGCCTGCGCCCAGGCCCAACTCTTCAGTTGAGGGCCTGGGCCTTTTTCGGTTGGGGCACGCCTTGGATTTCCAGACTTGGGCCGTTTGCATTTGCACAGGACCCGGGGTATGTACATCGACAATGCAGTAGCCACGTATGGAAAATGTCAAATTTTGGCCTCTGGTGAATATTCAGGCCCGCATTCACGTAGGGGGGGCACGGGGCTTGCTGAGGGCCTCTGCCAAGAACATGTGCATGTCTGATAAGGGCCCTGCGAGGGCTCATTCCTCGCGAAGGAAAGAGAGGACAGTCAACGAGAGGAAAATGGTAGTGGATAGGACAATCAGCAAGAGGAAAATGCTAGCGGCAGGAGCAGAGGTGAATAACTTCAAAGTGGTGCCATTCCTTGCACATTGGTCATCCCAAGAGATGACATTATTTCTAAAACATCAAAACCAGAACAAGCAATAACATCAACTCTGAAAGAGGATATCAATGAGAAGCAGAGTAGTCACTCCGATGGTCGGCCCCCTTGGATTGGTCGGGGGCCGACCAGCCGAGCGACGGACTGGTCAGCACCTACCGGTCGGGGGTCGGTCGGCACCCCCCCCTCCAGAACCCCAAATAACTCCAACACACCCATAGCCCCCCCCCAACACCCCCATACACCCCCCCAACACTCCCATACTGCGCCCCCTGACACCCTCACATGCCCCCCCATAACCCCCATAACCCCTACACTCCCCATAACCCCCCCGTCCCCAGAAGT